GCATACAAAGCAACCACATTTCGTATCAATCTAGCCAGCTTTAGCTAACATGTAAAGGATTTCACTAGAAACTCCTAGATATTCACTGATTAATCAAATACGCTCAGTTTTGTAACTTTCAACCAAAGTATACTCTAAAAGTCACTCAGAATGTATCACTGGTACTGACCTAGCAGTTATAGACTTCAACTGAGACATATCCAGAAAAGATAGACGATGGCGAAACTGCTAACTATGTGAAGTACATGAATAAACATGAGATGAATTTCAAGGCTAAAGTATGTGCAAGCAGACAAGGTTTTGGAACAGGACCAAATATTGTGCAAATAAGGTTAGCAGTGAGTATCAGGAGGGATTCTCTTGTTTGGCGATAAAAATATGATTCAACATATCCTCATTGCGACAATGCTTAAGTGTCTCCATAATTGGGCATCAAGACCATTTTTCGTTATTTATATCTATATCCATTGTCAATCCATCTTTCAGCAACTGCTCGACTGTCTACGAAATTTTTTTCGTGGGTTAACCAGATGAAATAAGATACAATGCCTTTGAAAGTTTTCAAATGTTATATATATATGCTTCAGACTTTGATAACGATGGTTCGTTTTCTTACGAACAATCCATTAAATCAAAGACAACATTTTACTGAAGTATAAAAGTTCATTATTGGATATTCAAATGTAAATAGCCATGTTGCATTTTTACAAGCGTTGATTAATTCCACCAGACGAGTTCCTCGATCTTAAGAAACCTTCTTCAGAAATCTAAGAAAAAGGCGGGATTGGGGTGTGGCACTTCAGTACATGCTTTCATTGGCCTTTTCCAGGGTCGGTGAACATGTAACAGCCGTGATTCTAGGCTTTTTCAGTGCGAATATTTATTTTCAACTGTCTTAAGTTCCTCATTTTCAAAGACATCAAGCAATTAACTGATTTTAAAAAACTTTGAACATCTAACAAGCTGCGATACTGCTTGGCTGTTTTATCCGCCAAAATGCCAGGTGTCGCCCTGACTGGGTAAGTCGTCTGTATGTGTGAGGACCTCTACGAAGGCTCTATGTTATTGTTCACTTTTAAATCCTTGTATGTAAATGCTATTTAAATCTCAAAACTTGAAAGAAACTTCTTACCAGATCTTCTGAACATGATTGTTCGAAAAGTGTTTGCTTCTGGGGGTGAGATGTTAGTTCGCTTGAAGAGAAACTAGGGGGCTACACTGGGTGCCAGAGGATTACAGTGGTCAAATATAATTTCACTGACCAACTCTTTTACGGAAGAAAACACGTTTTGCACAATTCATGTTTAGAAGATCTGGTAAGAGGTTTCTTTCAGGTTTTGAGAAAAGAATTGCATTTGTTACTTTGTCTTCGGACTGTAAGTCTATTTCGTGCCGAGCCGGGCCAACAATGGCAAAAATAACATTGGCATACGGAAGATTTGAAAGAGAACAAATACACACTTGGAAAAGCTTTAGAACATCGTCGCATGTCAAGGCCTCAGCGAAAATTGATTTGTTTCCCAATCTGAGGTATGTATGCACTTCCCAATTTTTGTTAACAAAAGAAAGAGAATGTTTATTATACTTGTGTATGATGTGCAACATTTAAGCAGGGCAGTTGTAATTCTTATGCACAAAAACTGTTCTGAAACCTTTTAAGTAAAAGATATATGAGAAATAAATATTTTTAGGCATATCAAGCCCAGTCAGGCTAACTATGGCCAAATCAGGAAATTTTATTTCATGTCTCCCTTTGGCAACATAAAAAAATTCGCTTTTTATTCAAATTACCCTATCCTCCATGGGAAAAACGTGCTTGAATTTGCTATGTATGCAGATTTTTTGTTCTTAAAAAACTAAACAAAGAAAACAGTAAGGAGAACATTCCAATTTTCCAATACAAAATTTCTTTCATCGATCAAGTTATTGAAAGAAAATTTTCTTCTGCCTAATAAAAATGGCGTAAGTAGACGATTTCCCGGTTTTTTTTGGTCGCTGTTTAGTCCCAATCTCTTATTTTTCACAGTAATTTGAAGAAATTATACTCATTCAGGGTGACACTACCCAAGAAGGAAAAAGCCTGAGAAGATTGGGGACAAAAACCCAGACAGCCCTTGTACTTGGGCAAAATCCTATGACTGTCCGATAAAGCCTAGTGTGTGTTCGAAGTAATGAAAAAGGAAATGCGAAACAGCAATATGAAACCAGAAATAAAAAATCATACTTTAATCTTTGAATAAACACAGAAAATCCAAGTATGTCTATCATGAGACTAGAAAATCTGCTAGGCTGCGTATCTAACACAGCCGTTGCGTCTCTTAAAATTTGTTGAATATAACAAAATATCAAACAGCGCATTGTAAGAAGATCTTTGCAGCCAAATAATTAAAATTTGTTTATATTGAATTTGTCAGGTTAATTTGCGAATCCCAGCAATAAAATCCAATGAACGCAAATGCAGTTTTCAGGCTGAATACTTAAGTTTTCAGGCTGAATACCAAAGTTTTCAGGCTGAATACCAAAGTTTTCACAGGCTCAGGTAACTTTTTAACATGAAACACGATACGTATTTAAAACGAAAGCATATTGACATTTAAAGAGACAAGTCAAGCATTCTGGCCAAACTTTTCGGACTCAGGTCCTTTTATGGTAAGAAGAACCTGCATTGTTTGAAGATCAAATTAATACATTATAAAATTAAATTATAACCACTATCTTTAGCTTGATATGACGTATTTAAGCTTCAAGTGTTTTTATGCTTCTTATATCATGACGTTAATAACCTTTTGTGGAAAAGTATATTGAGAAGCCAAAGCAAAGACAGGATTAACTGAAAGATTTGAGTTTTCTTTGCTTAACCAAAAGTCTTTGCTGGGATCAAGATCATGAAATTTAAATAAAATAGATTAATCAATAATAATCACAAGGAATGCATGTTTTGAATAGAAATTTGAGGTTAATCAAATAGATTTGTCGTCTTTAAAGCAATCGGTGCCAGCTGAGAACGAACAAATCTATCCTAAGAAACAAAGACTCGGCGAAGCAATCATTCTGAAAAGATTCGAGCATTAGCGTATCATACCTGATCACTCGATCATTAAACCAATCACACTTGATCACCTAATCATCCAAACAAAACAATGAATTTTTCATTTTTCGAGTATCCATTAATCTATTAATCGTAATCTGCACCGTTTAATCGCACGAAAGATCATTTGATTTATCTAACCATTCAAATACCTAGTCACCTCACAACATGAGAGATCCTTATCCATGGCAAGGTTCAATAGTACAGCGTCAAAAAGACTGAGCTTTTGTCACACAAAATAAGCTACGTTATACCTAGCCAAAGAAGTTGATCATTTAAAAAACCAGAAAGACAACTTTGAATTGCCAAAGTATTTACCAGATAAAAGTTGATGCATTTCAAAATGTGCCTACATATAATGGCAGTAGCATTGGCTTTTACACCGTATGGCTAATATTTTATTGGGAGAAGCCTATCATGTGCGCACAGCCAACTACAAAATATTGCCCTAACGACAGGAAAAGCATAAGCAGATTTGGAATTCTTTAATGCATGCTTTTTTCTATCGAGAACGGAATCTAACCTCTACAGATCATTTGCACCAACAACTAACCATATGAAAATATTCACACACACTTAATTATCTATCATATTTTCTATTTCTATCATAAACTTTCCCAGTGCCATTTGCTCTCTATTAAGAATAGGAAGAGCCCTTACATTCGATATCGTCAATTGACCATCTCGTTTGCAGGTCAAAGCGATAGGTAAAAATTGACAGGAGCAAGGAGATAAACTAATACCCTGTTAATATACAGAGTAACATATTTGCACACTGTTAAAATACATTGATGCACGACTGTATGAAGACCCGTTTATTTTTCCTAAATACTGTAAGATGTATCGCAAACACTGTTTTGCAGTGGAAGGAATTTGTCCATTTGAGAAACACTTGAGAAACTGAGTTACGTGACTGGTTGTTTCTTTGGTTTGACATGCCTTGATAAAAGATGTAAGAGCAAGGCGAAGGCTTGCTTGCCTACCAACAGAACACATCACACGCATGCGTAGCATTACGGCATCATCAACGTAATCCAACACGTAATCAGGTATTGCTGACTTTTGCCACTAAGTAACACGGGTATTCAATTGATAGCTCGATTTGCCTCTCATACTTATGTACACGATACCCCTTTGATCATCAACTAGGGCAATGACGCAAGAAAATTTTACTAAATACACTTGGAACGTACTTGAGGTCTTGAGTCATTAATCTTAAACTACCAGAGATAAATGTAATGATCAAAACAGCGGACCACTCTGCAGGGGTCTTAAACATTCAATGCACTTCCAAAACGATTTTATCGCTTTAAGAACAAAGATTCTAATTTTTGTAGTTACTTTTGTATTCCTGATTGAGGCATCGAGTTAAATCATTTGACACTATTATATTTCTGCTACACAATAGACATTTACTTTACAATAAGTATTCCTTGCCTTGCCAGTGTTTCAATAGCAGATCCAATACAAAAACCAAATGGCTGTCGTTTTATATATAGAAAATAAACGTTAAGATGAAGTACATTGGGGCTTGGGGCAAAGCTTCCCAAGTCACTTTGGTAAATGCGGAAGATGACGTTTTAAAGGCTCCTGCGCAGCCGTCAAGCTTTGCGGCAGCTATTTCGAGAATCTGATTGTGTTTTGTATTTTCATGCAGTTTCCATGCAGTACGATAATAGGCCAGTTTTGAAAATAAAGTCGCAAAGCATGCCGGTTGCGCAAGCGCCTGTAAGCGCAAGAATCGACAAGACATGACTCGACACAAATCAGTTTGAACAGAATCCTAATTGAAATGAGGATAGAATATTCCACTAAAGAGGGCAAATTTCATGAATATTTTCGGAAAATGACTAATGAGGAAGTCATATTATCTGCACAATCTACGGCTGGAAAAAATAAAAAAAGCACTCACGTTTATAGGAAATCGACATGGATATCCGGCCTGCCTGATCTTCACAGTTTCAAGCATCCCCGTGTACCTCAATTGACGTAAGACGACTTCCTCGTTAAATTCCATCGGAGCCTGGAATTCAAAATGGCAAAAAATTTCTTCATTGGAATTTCAGCGTTGCAAAGGAGGGCATATGACAAACAGCTGTTTTAGAAGCGGAAGGGGGATGGAGCAGTTAATGTAAGTTGCCCTGACACTCTAAGTAAAACAAGGCATTTGGTTTCTAGCTCATAAAATTGTTATGATAGTGAAAATCTCGTAACCAAAGTCTCCTACAAATACTGAAGAGTAAATTAAAAGACTTGACGGAAGAAGGGCATTGCTTTACAGGCGGGGTCTTCAGGACCCATTTAATACAGTAAGGATAAAAAACTGGAGGCTTTTGCAAGCAGCTTAAAATCCTCTTTTAGCCTGACATCTTATTTTGATTTTAAAGGGACAGTGATTATCGACCAATTTTTGTCACATGAAGAAAACTCTATTGTCAGGCATCACCCACCAAGTTTATTATCAAAATGCACCTTAAAGACAAAGAACTAATAAACTACCATCATTTTATATAGGTGTGAAATTTTAACCTACAGGTGTTCCCTTCTCCATATCTAAATAGCAGAAAATCCAGGTTTGAAAATATTTCTCCTTGGCTGACATAGTGAAGCTCAAAAACGAACCCACACGAAACCGGTTATGAGAATACTGTATTGAAAAATCAATATTTTACTGAGTGTAGCACTAATGTCATTGCATCGTTGGTTTATGCATATGAAACTTCAAATATTACAAAGTGATTCATGAACATACAGATGTTGCTATCCACTTGGGGCATAGGTCTCAGGACCCTTTTCGCTTAGGAAATTTGCATCAAAGGACATTTTTTACTTCTTTTGAGCTCTTTGGTTTTCAATAAATGTGCCCAACTTCATATCTTAATTGCTTATGATGAACCAAGTTCACTTGAAACGTTCAAAATAATGTTTAATTCAATTATAGTCTAAATCAATTACACAAAACGTCGCGACAACCTAGCAAACTGTAATTTTAAATGGATGTAAAAGACATGACAATAATCATGGACATAAAATCATACCTTATCTCGATTTGAACGCAGACATCGAACGAAAAATGGATGTGATTTATTCAATGTTTCCATTAGTTCAGATAAAGAGTTCTAGAAGGAAAACAAATAGAAGAGTCAAAAACAGTAATATAGCTAAACAATTTTTATGCCTCCGTGGTTTAGCTTCTATCAATATCAGAGGCGTCGAGAGAGGGGGTAAGAGGAGAATTTTCCTAGCATCGTCTTGCTGTCACAAAAGTTTTGTGATTTATTTTGTGAGATTTTGTGGGTTTTTTGGCAAGTTGTTTGAAAACGGATTAAAAATCTTATTTCATAAGAACAGATTTCAATTCTTTTTACGCAGGCCAGAAACTTTCAATTTATTTCGTCAAGTGTTATTTTGAAACCAGGGGCGGACACTTGATCAAATATTGAGGGGGGGGTAAGCCTATTGTTTTAATAAGATGACGTCACATTCCCCATTGTTTTAGAACAAAAGACCATTGTCCTTTTCAGTATTGGGGGGGGGCGGTCGCCCCCTCTCGCCCCCCCCCAAGTGTCCGCCACTGTTTGAAACACAATTAACAGTTTCTAGTAAAATGAACGATAGAACACCCACTCTCCCCTAAAAAAATGAAAGGTACCAATATATTTGGAAGGGATTGTAAGTGACTCCACCCTGCCCAAGAACTCGGTTTGTGAATAGGTATTACTTTTGGAGGTATGATATCAAACGGATTCCTTAAAGACATTTTAAAGCAATGTATATAAAATATATTTATATTACCTGAAACTGGCCAATTACTGTTGGGCACTTCATAGAACGGGTTCTGGTGGAAGTGGCGTATGTTTCTAATACATCATATGTGCTCAGCCTCTCCATGCCGTTTCTGATCTGGTGATATTTCTACGACAATAAGCAATTAGCTTTGAAATACATTTCACGGTGCTAGCACATTTATATTCTGATATGGAAGCTATTACCTGGCAGCAAATGGGAATGATGAACAGAATAAAGTAGCGGTCATTTCTTTAGAGAACAGCAGAGGTGCACATATACATGCCACAAGATATCTTCATCATAAACATAGGTATCTTGGGCTGGATTAACATACCGTAAATCCTCGAATTAGCCCCCTGGGGGCTTATTTATTTTTGATATTTTTGGACGGGGGCTTATTCGAGAGGGGGGCTTATACGAAGGGGGGCTTATAAAATTATTGTAGACAATAAGAAGACATCATTAAAAGACCTTGTTTATTTTAGTAGGAATTTCTTTATGAGCATTTAATTAATTACTACCATAAGTACGAATTTGTCGTGGTTGTTCAATAAAACGCCATAGGCAACCGCAGATGGGAAAAACCGTCAAATTGAGGGGTCCAATTCGAGAACATACGGTAGCAGTGGGGGCTTATTCAAGGAGGATTATTGGCAGTTTGTAGTTTAGAGTGGGGGCTTATTCGAGGGGAGGGCTTTTTCGAGGGGGGGGGCCAATTCGAGGATTTACGGTATAGAGCTTGAGACTATGGCTAATAAGACGTTCGAATGTGTAGGTAATTAGAGGACAAAGCAGAAATTTGATTCTGTCGACCTTTAGCCATTTTTACATTGTTCATTGTAAACTTTCGACATCAATTTGAACAGTGACAAATCTGACTCTTCGACAGTTAAAGAATTTCACTAGAGAAGGCTTGAGAACACGGCTAACGTGTGTGCAATGAAGAGAGAAGCTTTCAAGCTATTTGGGGGATTAAATCAAAGAAATATTGAGCAGCTTAGAGTGCTGGATTCTAAGCCCGGGTGCTTGTTACAAGTGATTATCCTATGATGTCAACATCATGAATATCATGCGATAACAGTAGCATACAACATCTGTTTAAAATTTTGTTTAAAACCCCTTTGAGAAATAATCAAAAGGCTTCAATGGTATATTTACAGATTATTAAAATGATTACGTCACAATCTAAACGATATTTGAAAAAAATTCAGGGTCGAACAGGTACCAAAATAAGGTAGTTATTGAAAAGAATTTTAATTGACCAATTCCGCATCTTTTCTGGTGAATGCCCTTACGACTACTGCTAACTATTACTGGCCTAAATTTGGACGGGTCAAGATCTATCCTTAATCATATAATCTTTTATTTATTCGTCTAAATCTTTGATGCGTGCTACTGAAAGAATTGTGTTATGTAACACAATCGTGTTTCGCAACAGATTCAAAAATAACAATTGGTTACCTTTCGCTGGTGTTCACGTCTAAAAATAAAAACAATAAAAGTATAAGGGTCGCGGGCTAATTAAATGAATGTTTACTTTGAAAGCAGGCAGGAAATGGAATCTTGAATATTCAGAGTAGTGTATAACTACATATTTGGTATAATCAGCTAAGACAAGGCAAAATACCAAGGTACGTGTTCAATGTCTAAACTGAATAAATCACGAAAAGTCATTACAATATCCCGTCTAGCCAAGGTTATGGTTCCCCGTGCCGCGGTTAGTAGTTCATTAAAAGTTTTGCAAATGAATGACTGTATTGGGAAATTAGAAAATATTTGCCAAATTTAGAGGTAATCTGTGAAAGTAATATGTAACCAAAGAGGTACTTTGTGAAAAGACACCTTCGTAAGAAACTCAATGCAGAAAACCACTGTTATCACGAGAGAGCAAAAACATACTTTCTCTTGAAAGAGGGGTAACAGCCCAGAGATTTGAAAGGCAAAAACATGAGGTTAAGAAATTATTTTATTTTTCTCGAGGGAATGAGTGGGTAATTTCCCAACGTGAACTGCAATCATTAACCTTCTTTTGCCAGAAAGACACTAAAAGTCCCAAAACAAAACTACATGTCATGGGAAACAGCCAGATGTATTGTCCAGATTTTCGGACTGTTGGATTTCTTCATGGAAATCCATTGAATAAAGTTGGACCGGTTTAAAAACTGTGCCAAAATCTTTTCCAGCAAATAGGTAATTAGAGCTGTGAAAAATCCATCCAACAATAGGATGTCAAACGCCGTGTTATCAGTTTTGACAAAACAGGTTACATTCTCAAAAGCAGTGTGATTTCAAAAAAATAATATGAAGAATTGCATCCAAATAAATAAAACATAGTAGTTGAACTGTGGGGTGAAATAACCAAGGGTCACTCGGAAAATCTTACGAATCAATCCATCTCAATCATTGGCGGCACCATTCGCAGATTAACACTGTTATGACGTACCAAGTAAGTAGCGAGACAATCGAAACTTTCTAAAGCCCATTGCGAATATGATATTTCCAACAATATGCTTATCAAAAGTTTGACTTTTGTTGTCTTGCCAGCTCGCTCCGAGTGGAAGCAGAGTTTTTATAAAACATTTTCGGTATTACAAACATCGATGATAAGAGAATGCAAGAATCTAGCAATGTTACATAGGTGCTACAGTCTAATTTGGTTGGAAGATTCCCCCCTCCCCCTGTCTTACTATATTGCTTTCATACGGCCATTATCTTGGTCTCAGTTAGGCGAAGACAGTGACCAAATATTGGAGTGGGGAAAACCTGTTGTTTTGATAAGATGACATCACAGTTGTCAATCTTTGTAGAAAAAAGGCCATTGTCTTTCAAAATATTTGAGTTGATCGCACCCTTCGCTCCCCCAGGTGTCCGTCAACCCAAATTGAATTAAATCAAAGTACTCCTCATATTTCGTCAAGAAGGCTCAGGGCTTTTGCATACATTAAAAATAGACTACATTAGTTGTGACAGATTTAGACTGCATTTAAGCAGTAAATAAAAGTTAAAGTGTGTAAATATGTTTATTTTTAAAAACTCAGACGGAAATTGATTAGGCTTTTGAAAACCTAGGCCATAAGTCTGGCCTGACAAGGTCGTTGAATGTCTTATGAGATTATGATGTTAATCAAGAATCAAGATAATCATGATCAAATTAATGATTAGGTGAATTTCGAATCAAGATCAAATCATTAACCTTAATTTTGCAGCTTCAGCCCTGAAAAGAAAACAATATGAGCATTATTTATATACGGATGTTACCAATACACAGAACTTAGTATACCCTTTAAAAGCATTGAGTCATGATAAAATGGATTGGGTTTACCCAAAGTACCAAAATCCGCTGAGTCACGATTTTCATGACTGCGACGCTATTGGTTGACCTTAAACTGGTCACATGAACTCGCCTCGTACTGATTAACAAAACAGTTTCCATCAATAATAGCAAGTTGTCAACAATGGATGCCAATATCACATGAAACAGCAGTGATCACGCCGAAACCAAATGAACCCCTATAGAGAAGGCCTATTTACCATGACTCAATGCCTTTAACTATTTCAAGAAAGACTAACAGAAAAATTCAACTTGAAAAATAGAATTGCTATATATCTTAGGCTTTTGATGATGAGAGCAAAAATGAGAATGCAATGACTTAAACGTAAATTGGTTTAACTAGAAAACAATTTCCTCCATCGACTAAATAAAATAAAGAAAATAATATTTAAATCTTATTTCTCCAACATTTAAGTCTGATAGCACTTAGATGGGCTTGGCTTTAAAAAATCATGCCCCTTAATAGATAATAAATATTACAGAAGAGCAGCGTACAACCTCTTGAGTACTGACCTATTCAAAACTTTTGTCGCCTTTCGATAAACTTCCCTCTGCTGTTTCGATGTTTCTTTATCCAAAGGAATCCTTATTCTCTTGCTATATGGATATATATATATATATATATTTAAAAAGACGTAGCAGAAAATTGACTAAATACCTAAAACTCAAATGAAATTAGTGAAACAAGTAAAACCTAAAAATCTAGGAGTATACAGACAATGACAGGAAAACTGGCAAGATGAAAATGGATCACAGGTTGCTTGTAACCAAAATTATGAAAAATATGTTAATCAACGTTCAATAGAGGAGGACGAGCAGACAATAAAATCGATAATTTCCAAGACTTAACACATCCTTTCACTTTACAATCTTACAAGAGCTCTAGCACCAACAGATACAAATAAAGCTTGTGGGGACGTAGCTAGCGGGTTGTAGGGGGTGGGGCACCCCCAATTTTTAATGAGGTGCTCTGTTAATCGTAAATATTCGGACGAATCGTCTATCAGTAGGCGAAAGAGCACCTCAGTTTTTCTTCATCTAAGTTTTTGTCAGAGTAAATTTTTCTACTGATTACCCTGTATCAAAGCCTGGAAGGTCAAGTCACGTCACTGCATGAAAAATGTTCGTATTTGGAACAAACCAATTATAATATACCGTGTCCTTTGCATAAATATTAGCATTATGGCCATAAACAAATTGTAACAAACATATAAAAGCAATATATACTTGAACAATATAGGTATTTAGTGTTTTGACTGCATATAATATGCTTAACTCGCATATCCACTGCATATCACTTTTTTTGACATCGGCATAATAGAATTGCTCTTTTGAAAATGACAAACACTTTTGCTTGTGCCTTTTATCAATCTAGTGCCCTATTTTTAAACACTAAGTAGAAAGCTTACCGTTCCGTGGGAGACTTTGAAACAGCCTGCAAAGAAGAAAAAAGTATTGTTCATACGACTGTCTGCAGCCCGCCGTTTCCTTAGCAAATATTTTCATGGATAAAAACACCAGAACAGTGACAAGCTGGAAATTGAGCAAAAATGCAGAAATATAAAACAAACTCACCCAGCTTGTGTTTTTATTTTGGCGTAAAAAATGTCCTCCTAAAGGGTAAAGAGTAAGAAATAATTTTCTGCCGAATCTTAAAACATAACATTGACAGCACGTGCTTGTCGTAAAGTGTTGCTATAAGACTAAACCCAAATTATCAGGTTTTCTTATACATATTACTGTCTGACCAACATTTGATACTCCTTCGTTGTTACTGTGTGACTGGGACTAGTTCAAACAATGCTTTACATACTTTTAAAAGACGTTTGTCATTGCTTTGATCATACGATACCTGCATTACGTCTAAAATATGCCTCATAGCTTTTTTAACTACGGAAAGCAACGATCAGTTAGCGTGATAATTGACATCTACTACAGTTCATCAGTCAAAAAATACTTAAACACTTGTTTGCGCACAAAATTTAGAAAAGGTAATTCACAAAAAGGGTATACATTTCCCAACATAACACCCTCGATTCTATTTTTGACGTTAACCACGCTGAAGAATATTAGACAAAATAATTTCATATATCTCGAAATGCCTCATTGCTTTATCGAAAAAATAGCCTCATTCCAATTCACAAACATCAGAGCAATCATATCATATCAGCATCACCTTGCCATTAGTACAGCACCACCTTGCCATTAGTACCATACTGTCAATGCAATCATATCGCTATCACCTCGCCAATCATATCGCTATCATATCGTCAAATTTGGTTGGAACAACTTTTGTTTGATCAAAGGTTTTCAGTCTTAGTTTTGAATATATTTACATATTTTGAACAACATATTTTGAATAGACAGTAGCTGCAAGACTTTGGTAACATCGAAATGGCTTCTACAGTAGAACCTTGATAACATTAAAAGCTGATTTACCTACGACTTTAACAACTTGTTGGCACTTTTTCTCTTAGCATTGTCATTATCAAATGGAAACTTAAAATTTTCACAATTCCAAAGAAATTCGCTCAGAAATACAAAGTATAGCAATACCGTTTCTCCTTGCCTCTCCTGCCTTTCGAAATAATGCAAGAGCGCAGATCACGTGACGTAAAATCAACCAACGGTAGACGGCCATTGGGTCGGAGCCGAGCAGCTTTCGTACGAAAAGCATTTTGCTGTTCTTCAACGACATCACGATGTCATTTCTCATTAAATCTTGATTCTTAGCTTTGAAATCCTGGAAGAAAAAAACAAACACTCAAAATAGGAAATATTTCAATTGCTGTCTGCCTTCAAGGCAAGCTGATCATTGGGTCACGTGCCTGGAACTTCCTTTATGAAATCGGAGACTTGTGGACAAAACTTATAGTCCTTGATTCAAATTCGTAGTAGGAAGAGTTTTCCAAACTTCTGAAGTATTTTCCAACCGTGGCTGAAAATTGATTTGTTTCATTAATGTCCGCCTTTGTTGCTACTTTACTATTAATCAAAAGAAATCAAAATTTCACTCTACAAACATGGAAATGTGAATTATCATTGAAGAAAACTGGATTAACAGATACAATCGGGATAACAAGCAGCACCATTTTAAATGTATAACACAATCGCCTTTGGAGCGCGAGGAGCTGTACCCATTGTTTATGGAGAACGAATGCTTCTATTTAATTTAAATAGCTTCATATGCTAACATAACTTGAATTTTGTCCCTTCAAATATTGTTTAGACTATTCATCTGAAATCCTATGACAATTAAGTGCAAAGAAACTCAAACGAATGAAAATACAATATTGTTACAAGTGCAAACTACAACATCTTAATCTAGCCTTAAGCCTTGACAAAAAACAATAAAAATGTCAAAAGGAAAGTGTCAAAATAATCAGAAAATAAATAAAAAAGGAAAAAAATTAAGAAGTTGAATAAAAAGGCAATGCAGTGGTCACATGAAGCGTGGAACTCGAAGAAGCAACATGACAACACAAAAATGTTTAAGTTTTAGCTGATCAGAATTGCATATTCGGTCCTTTCCCTGCAGCCTTCATCTATATAAACCAGTGATTTTAAACATAAAACTAAATGCAGATAAATACCTTTATTTTATACTTGACGACACCAGCATAATGCACAATTCTGAAAGCCGGCTCTTTTGTAGGCGGTTTCTCATAATGACTATTAGAGGAGTGGTGCTTGTTGAATTTAGCTAGCAGACTCTCGTCAGTACCCATGCTTAAACTGTGGATAAAAGGTGGATGAACTGTTTTATTTAAGCTATTCAGGACAATATTTCAAAAATTAATTTGGTGTTGTGGGTTCTAATTGAAGTATCCACTATCTGTTAATAGCTAGAGACACAAAAAATACGGTTTGTTTCTTTGAATTCTTTATCCAGATACACTGCTAAATACTGGTCTGCTTGAAGTTCGATATGCAATTTTTGAATAGTGACGTTTTTGATTTACGAAGATGAATAATACATTACAGCCTTAAAGAACTTTAATGTCTACTCAAAATTCAAAGGATAACTTTCCTTAAGATGACTTTCCTTATTAACACTTAATTTGCGTTGTACCTGACACAGAAAGTTTATTTGAGAGATATTCAGAGATTCAGAGAAATAGAAGGCTGCCCATACAGACACAGTACAGTTCAAAAGTTTGTCAAACCGTATGTTAATGAGAGATATGTGAAATGTGTCATAGATGAAATGGCATTCATAATAATTTTGAGAAGGAGATAATTTTTAAAAAAACTCTTAGTTTTCAAGAAGGAGCTGATAAAATGATGAATAGTACAAAAACTTTAAAGCATTGACAACTTAAAGTGTGATTCAAACACAGTATTCTCAAATGTGCGCCGAATAATGTTTTTATAGTGTTAGTTTGCCAGAATGTGTTCATAATGCATATTCCCTTAAAAAACGTAGGAAGTCATTTTCTTAAAGAAGAGCATTTATGAAATATAAACAATGTTTGAGTTATCGTTCAATGTGGACACATTATTAACAGGATAGACAACAAACAGTGACATTTGCCAAACCATCCGGCTGTAAAAATCTCAAATAAAAACAACAAAATTCTTTTTGATGGAACATGTTACCTGCATTCCTCGTCAAGGAGGTTGATTAGGCCAACAGGTTTTCCATTAATCAGTTCAAGGCAAGATTCGTTGTCTACAAAAGCGACAGTGTCCCACAACAGGCCTTCTGACAAATACTCGTCCTATAAAACAAATGCAGGGAACAGAAAAGTATAAACTAGAATTAGAACAGGGTGTATATTGCGACAAAAAGATCCATCAAGTCAAGGGTTTTAGACAATGGTTCTAAAACTGACTAGCATTTTCATTATAAAATCTAAGAAATTTCTTAAGTTAAGTTAAGTTAAGTTAAGTTAAGTTAAATCAAGTTAAGTTAAGTTAAGTTAAGTTAAGTTGAGTTAAGTAAGTTAAGTTAAGTTAGTTGAGTTAAGTGATAGGAGATTTGAGTTGTGATAAGTTGATCTAAACTGAGCTAGATAAGTTAAGTTAACTCAACTTAAGTTAAGTTCTTTTACTAGTAGCGTTAAAGGACACGGCTAAACAACAATAAAGTAACATGAAGTATTGGTAGAAACAAATTATCAGTGTCTCTACTTTGCTCCTTTCCTACGAACTGGCCTTGAAACGTGTTATGAAAGTCCGTTCAACAAATGACTCGATCAATGACATTTTAAGGAGAATTGCTTCAGGGAAATGAGTCGCTTTACATGATTATGAAAAAACTTAGAAAAATAAAGCAAGTACAGAAATTTGCCCTCGCGAATTTCTCTTATTGCTTAGCTTAGGAGTGAATTAATAGGGAAAAATTACTTTTTCCTTACGAGCATTTGCAAAAAATCTTTCTAAAAGAGAATTTAACGACCAGAATTTAACAAGAGAAAATCTTCATCTTACCTGCCTAATTTTAAAAATGTGTTGATTAAGGTAAAATTGTAGATTCTCGTTGGCGAAGTTGATGCAGAACTGTTCAAAACTGTTCATCTCGAAATCTTCGAAGCCGAAGATGTCAAGTACCCCAATGGAATATGCCTGGAATAAACCATTTCTGTCAAAGTTTCAACTTAGTTAGTCACAGCGAGGTTCACATATTGCAGATAGAAGCATAAGTAATTCCAAACGGGTGATAAAAATATTTCACAATTATTTCTATGTCCACTAAGGAATATAACACAAAATTTGGAGGATGGGGACAAGAAAGGAAATACCAACATATCTAAGTACTAGAGTTGAAAACGAAAATGGGGGTGTATTCTAGCTGACGAAGCCATACAGTATAATGTATAAGTTGCGTGACTTAGATAATGGATTTATCTTGAAACAAAAAATTTGACATTATGATATGATAACGAAAATAACTCTGCTGTTCTGGTCCTAAGATTGCTCAACATTTGTTCAAAAGAATATTTTAGTTAAAAAGCGTAGATGCTAGTAGATCTTAACAAAATGATACATCTCTTGAGGTAAAAAGTAACGAACTTCAGTATACCTTGACATCTGACATTCTTGGGTTGTGCCTTGATTTCAATGTCTGATTGATCTAGAGAGAAAATCCATACATGCAGATGTGATCCATCCAAACTCGTTCATATCGAAATGAGACTTAAACCAACACGACTCATCAGATCTTCAACAAGGTGAAAAGTTCCAAACAGCCGGACAGAAAAACCAGTTTGAGTCGATTCGTGACATGGGCTGATTTTGTCACTGCGCCGATGTCACATAAAACTTTATTTCTGCTAGCAGTGATAGAAACACAGAAAAACGGGAATACTGAATCAACATTTCTCCACCTAAGTATTTTTTCTGTTAAGTTGATTACCGCAAAAGTGAGGTTTCATTCCAGTGAGATTAATTTAGATACTGACTGTAGTCAAACTAGGAAACATTCCAAGAAATATGAGCTCCCCTGTTATTGTGACAAACTGCTGTGGAAATTATCATATCAATGCTAAAATTGGCAACATCAACACCAAAATTAGAATTGACATGAAACAGTTCCAGCAGATCAGATTTTGCCAAGATCCTTTCAAGATTTTGACTATACTGGACTTTAACAAGTATACACACTTTTTGAATAATATCGAGTATCAACTTGCCAAAAAATATGAACAGCGTAAGAGCATCACCAATCAAAAATTGAAGTTAGAAGAAAAAGCAAGTTAGAAGAAAAATTTGCTCCAATCATAACAAAACAGAGCAGATTTAATCAACTAAACAATGTCGTGTTAAGTGTTTTTAGTGGCTTTGCAAAGTCAGTTTATAGTATATTGTCGTAAAAAATCAATATATATAAAAAACAAAACAAACATCAAAACAAATTCAAATTATGCCGTTTTTATAAAAAGAATGAAATAACACGAGCAGTCAGTGAAACAGTTTTCTTACCAAATTTCACGACTCGCTGATGGTGTAACAGTTATAGTAGAAAGAAATTCTTGTTTGTTATTGGAAATCTTTGTTTGAATATTGCATGCCTTATATTACATATCTGGCATTCAATATTACAATCTTATATTAAAATCATGTTGGTAGGAATATTTCTATTGCTAACAAAAAGGTATAAAGATATGTGCAAAGACAAAAAAAGAAAACAATGATTGCATGGTAAACATCAAAAGAATTGACATATTACAATCTTGTATAGCATAAACAATGATTCTAAAACCAAATTAATTTGTCTTGGGTGTATGCACATCAATAAAATCAATAATATTTTTGCATAACTTTGTCGACGAGCTAAGAACAAGCATTTGTACGATGCGAAAAAGAGAAATAATTTTAGCTGCCAAATCCAGTTAGATCAATGGTCACTTCAAGTCGAAAGCGGAATTTTTTGGCTTGCTGGATAAAAAAAGGCAAAATTGCGTCTTTTTTCATTGACATTTAACGATAAAATTAATTTTTGAAAACGTATCTTTGTTTGACAACATAGAAGAGTGAATGAAATCTTTTTATGTCAACTTTGGAATATGAAAACAAAATCACAGAGGTGGGCAACGGCAATTCCAACAGTGCTTTTGCGATTAAATACTTTATTAAAAGCAGTCTTTGGATACAGCTTAAATCTTATGAGAAATGAACGAAATTTGAATTTATTTTCAGAGGGCCTGAAAAAATACCCGTTCATTCTCTTTAACAATATCTTAATAATAAGATGACTTAAAACTATTACTATATACACCTCACAAAGACGCCAAGAAAACAGGAAATCCTTTTAAAGAGGATCAGACTAGCCACCTAGTCGACAGGAGTATGGTTGAGGGGTGTACAACCGAAAGAAGGATATAGATCTGCAAAATGTAATTGGGTTGATTAAGACGTTCTTAGAACTGGTATTATTGCCTCTAATCATTATCAGCACGTGTTGATTGTTGATCTTTAATTATAGCTAGGAAACATGTTTGTATGGCACTTCAGAAGTACGGATGTATTGGAATAGCAGAAAAGAATAGCAGTTACATTTTGCTGCTTTGGCATAAAAAGCTACTTTCATTACATTTTTATCATAATATAAAACGTTAAGTGAAGATCAGAAAGTGACGACGATTTCTACCTATTTAGTAGTGAAGTTTAACCACTCAGAGAAAAGAAGAACAGTGGATATGCCAGGATATAAATTAATTAATCAGTGCTCATCACCTGACGATTTCTACTCTGCTGAATATTGGGCTAAAACAGCCTTAAGTTTATAAGGAAAGTTGTTCAATTTTTCAATAGAATTTCGAACATTCAAAAAAGCTTTAAAATGAAGTGTACCTGTAAGACGATCCAGTCGAAAACAGAGCCATACAAAGCTTTTGCCATTCCGTCTCTTGTTGCAATGGCCTAAAGCATTATTGTCTGATTTAAAATCTTTGAATTGAAACACGATAAGGATATCCAAAACTTCACAAAGTAATGCAGAATAACTTAATAAAAAAGAAAATTTCGTCCCTGGAAACATCTATATAACCGTATAAAATCATGTCAAGTGTAGTCTTTGGCTAAGAGTAGTACGAATTCACCAGGCTTATTCAAGAGGTATTTCAGAACATTAAATGCACAGAAATTAAGAATTATTCTATAAAGAAAGGATAGAAGACCTTAAGATTTTATCGGGGTTAATGCTAAATCGTATCTTCTCTGACGGATGAACAACCCCACACTGATTTATTGGCCAATAAAACACCTTCAATAACAGAACCACTGTGTTAAAATATTAGGGCTTTTTCATCTTGTTACAGAAAATCAAAGGATTTTCATACAGGTTTCACTGATGTCGCAACCGGGGAGGCACCAGGGGTAAATGTCCCAAAACTTTACAAAACATTTCACTTCTTTCAGCCTTCTTTCAGTATCTTTGCGATGTTCCCGATATTCCTGAGGGTTTTTACTGTATGCATTCGCTTGAGAAACTCTGAATCGTTGAAAAAGATTGCATGATTTTAGGCATAAGGCAAGCCTGGCGATGTTCCAAAAACAGTATAGTTTAGGCCCAGAAGAGAAAACTTGTTAAGCTTTTATCGAAAGACCATTACTATCGTGTTCCGTATATCGTCATAGATATAGATCATAGAAAATATGTTCTTAATTATACTAGATCTAATCCATTCTAGAATCAAGTCATTCATAATACACTGACAGCATGCATATATTCATTATGTTAATTATGTTAATTATGCTTAAAAATTATAATTACCTCCGCCTCCTTATACGGTCGTATAAGAACCTCTCCTCTGGTCACAGTTCTGCGAACAGTAAACACGTCAACGAGTATTTGTTTATCAACCTAGGAAAGAAAGACAACTTGCTAACCACTGTAAAAAATATGTATAAAATTCAATTTGCACATTCAGTATTATGCTAACACAATCTGAAAGCTAAAGCATAAGTGCTAACAATCATAAACACACTAAGCTTAAAAATGTAGTGACATAAATGTCTTAAATAAAAACAATCATTGACAAGTGGAGTCATATCACGGCATTTTTGTGCAATCTTGAAATTTTGCAATACGGATGGATTTTTTCAAAAGCAATTAAATCATTTGGACAGATGACAATTAAGTAGGAAATCTCTATTTAAATAACTATATACTCGAATATGTCGGTATAAAATAAAACAAATTTTTAAGCATGTTGTGTGGAGCTTGGGCCAGTGGGTGAACAGGAACACTAGGCATCATCATTACACATACAGTTCCCGTGTGTAAGAAACCCCCCTTGTGTAAGAAACAGGCTTCATTTTTTCAAAATGGGCTCATTTTACGACAAACAATATTAGGCCTGAAGTTAAAATGTTTCTTAATTTCAAGTATAAACATTCATGTTTTTATCTGTCTATGCTTTATGGATAGTTTAGTGTGTTTTCTATTAATATGAAAAATTGATGTAGATTATGTATTATACTCTACAACCAGTAAGATTGAATACACGTCCATGGATGGTTCTGCCTCGATTTGACTTGACAGTACCTATTTATAAGAAACTTAGACTCTGGTGATGAAAAGTCCCTGTCAATTAGAAACTTGCCGAGGCCGCAGCCTTAAAAAGGCGGATTCTTATATGCGGGTACATACTGTAGCAAATAGGGAAATTGACACCTCGTAGGGATCAATATCATATCTTTAACAGGAAAATTCATTAAACAAGTATTTGACGAACCTTAAGAAGACTGGATATGATATCAACCGCACCGTTATCATTAATTGTTACAGCATCTTCAGATCTCTCTTTCTGTAAAATAAAAAACAATATGAGATGTTGGAGTGAGACTGTTACTGAAGCATGTATTTATGAAATGAAACGATAGTTAAATATCATAAAATAGGTATGAAATAACTAAGAACTATGAAAATACATTAATAAAAACACAAAAAATAGCTTTAAAAAGGAAGTGAGCAGTCAGTGGTTTTGCTTACGACTTCCCTTCTGATGTCATGAACAGATGTTACTGCAAAACGCGTTATACAACGCTACACTATTTGTTACCACGTGTGAGTACCGATATTTAAATTCGGGTTGCTCTAGAAAGATCGTGTTTGATTCCAATACTGTCTTGTTACAAGGATAATATTATTAACTAGAAAATCGTTCCATAAGAAAAGTTCCCGAAGCATACCAGCAACGAGAACAACGTGCCATACTCAAAATATGCGTCCTGTCATAAGGAGTGACAAAATGTCTTTATGTTGCGCAAATCATTAAAATAATTATCTCTTGATTATGCCCGCTAATCATATTAGACAAAATAGAGAAGAGCTGCTTAGATAATCAATAACCTTTCAACATAAGAAAGATTATTCCTTCTTCTGGATGCTGAAAAAATCTAGGTTTAGTTTGTCTAGGATGAACTGTACTTGAATAACACAAGCAGTGAGCATCGAATACAAAGCACTGACTTTGAACTTCAAGCAAATTCATTTTTCTATTTATATAAACTCTAGTTTTTGAAACAGTAACAGTTAGCACTTCTAAAGACGCATCTATTGTTAACTATTTGAATTTTCTTACAGGTTCCATAGATTAAAATCGAGGAAACAGAAGAAATGAAATAACCACGAGGTTATCGTATTTTCAGCGTGAACCCAAATCTAGTTCTACAACACCACTGCGCTTTCAAGTTATTATGAATGTTGACTTGCCAAACGCCTAAACAAAGAACTAATAAAAATGTTAGACACAAAATGGAAGCAGATTAAACAAAGACATACCGGGATGAACTCAACATTGCCAATCTGCAAGACGGCTGAAAGCACTGTAAATAGCCTAAAACGACAGAGTCATGAGTCAATGGTTAATTGCAGTTTGACTGAAAAATCTAGAAAATCGAAAGTTAAGAATGTCCGGAGAATCGCTTTAATAAAAAAAGGAGACCGCAAAAATCAATTAATTTAAAGATAGAATAATACGACAATGGAAAGTAAGAGAATTTAAGCCTATTTTCTATTTAAGGCTTGTGCCTAACTTAAAGTTAGGTCATCCAGGTGTCTTAAAAATAAATATAACCCATTTTAAAAAAGCTACTTTTCTTACTAAGGTAACGCATTTTGCCCCAATTTGGACAAATGCTGTTTGCATGAGAAATTTGCAAATCACTTCCAAAATGCCTTCAATACAATGCAAGATAGTTGCAAACCTTAATTTATAAAGTTTACATATTCAAAACATAAAAGTATAGAGGATATTTACAAGATTCGTTGGTATGATAACTAGGTGCTGATGCTGAAAAATGACTTGACAATGTAGTGGCGGTTCTGTTAAAGAACTAGCTAGTGTTTCTGCTTCGCTTTGGAGAATTTGTTAATGTGACACAACGGAATATGGTTCCATTTGCACAGAAAATATAAGGGTTGGTAGAATTTATCTGAAACCGACCCGTTGTTTCCAATCGACTTGGGTTTCTTTTCACGGAGCAATTCATTCTTCCGAATTGTGTACGAGATTTTCATCAAAACAACATGATTTCTAGTGACTATCATATCAAAACAATATTTCTATCCGAGGGGCGATTCACTCTTGCAAATAGCGTACAAGATTTTGCCTAAGAAAAAGGATTTCTGGGGATTTTCAGATAAAACAATAGGATTTTCACAAAAGGTGTACGAGATTTTCTTAGAGTGATTTGCCCCTCGTTTCTATCAAAAGAAGACAAAATTTTAATGGAGTGATTTGCCCCTCGGTTCTTTTGAGACTTATTTATCAATTGAATGGTAAAAATAGTTAAATATAAATATATTGATATTTGATAAAAATATAAACATATCGGAAACTATCCGATCTGGAAGGATTATATCCAAATAAACCAGGTCTGGCCAAACAGCGGCAGGGAGTCTGTGAATAGAGCCACCGGCAATCGACTGATGCTAGCAGGAAATGCATCTAGTCGTCACAGGAACAGGGGAGGAGTTCCGTACTCACTAGGTAAAGACGAGGTCATGGAGGTCTTACTTTCCTTGCATTGTATTATCAATTTATTTCAAAGCTGCTTAACAGATTCGAACAGGTAGAATACCCATGGAGTTGTTGGGATGTTTGTGTGTCAAGACTAAAAAGCTGGCCAAATCAATACAGATGTCTTAGGAAAAGAACTACTGACAGCAACTCTGTTTAATATATCTTCAAATTACATTTCATCACAAAATGTTTTCAATCGTCACAAAAAAGAACCTCTTTATTTTTACGAATCATTTTAAAGAATCAAAAGATTGAGTGCCCCCGTTACTTCAACGGTGTGACAAAACAATAATGTTTTTTCTTGTCAGTTATCTTTTATAGCGTTACCCGATCCATTTTTTAATTTTGATACTAGGGAATACAAGGGACAAAACGTTTGTGAGAATAAAGAATATCATAAGAAAAAAGCTGATCTTTGGACGTTCGAAAATAACTACAGAACACTGTAAATTTCGCCATCAATTCTTTTTTCTTTTAAAAATCCAAATTTTAAAAAAGACGTTCCAAGTTTGCCTTGTTTTGGCACTGTCAGGAACATGTATACTAGATTGCGTGCCGTGGGGTACAATAGAATGATATTATAAGTATGAATGTAAGTAAATTGTACCAGGAATAAATAATTGATTTAATGAATACCAGTGGTGTGTTATTCATTGAATCAATTACTTATTACTGGCACAATTCACTTACATTCATAGTCAGGAATATGTGACTGCCTCCGAGCTAGCAAAAATGTTAAACTAGCTTCTATAGAGAAAACATTATGATTTATCCAAAAATATAAAAATGTAAAATATTTGGTAAATAAAGTTCACAAAATAAAAGTGATACCTTTGCTGGACTTCACCACTGAATCCGATGCTTCTCATTGAATCTTGGAGTCTCAAAAAATCGTAGGATTCATCCACTCGATCAATAGTGTAACACTGGCTCTAAAAGATTAAAATAACTCAAGAGGATGCTCACACAAACTGCATATATTGGGAATATTTACAAATAGAAAAAAGCATTGTTTTCGCCTGGCTGTTGTCTATGTGCGATTTCCGTAGTTCAATTTTTAAGAATACAAGACTCCAGAAGACCTGATATCGACAGACAAACGATGCGGGGTACGTGCTAGCCAGAAGGCCTTTTTTGACTATCAGAATCCATAGATTCAGAGAGAGCCATTGCGAGCAGCCAATCAACTACCCTCGGCGCCCGAGTCTCCATTATTTAGTCTCCATTATTTGGGCTCCAGAAATATCGTTCGGAACACCCTCCGCATCCACTCCTTTTTTGTCACCATAGCCGTTTACAATACTGTATCCCTGTATTCATGAAGCTCTAGTAACAACGGTACCAATCAACCAGCAATCCTCGAGATCTTGTTGAATTGCCAGCTTAACTTTAATCAAGACGAAAATCATTCAATGGAAATCTCCTATACAATTGGTTGAAATCCTATCCCTTATCCGAAAATCCCTGGAATTTTTTTTCATGAAATCTCGTACACTGTTTGCACGAGTGAATTGTCCTTCGATTTTCAGAGCGAAATATTCTAAGGACGTCTTTGACATTGTTCAGAAAAAATTGACACAAATAGTTTGGCATGGCAATGAACTTCAGTATGCTTAAGCATTTGATTTCACCGAGGCACAGTGTTGGTGATTTTTCCCGAAAATATAGGTCATTCATTTCTTATTATTATAAATAAGAGTTTCTGTTTTTTTGTTTGTAACTTGTTTGTAACGAGCAACGGTATTCTAAGGCATTTTCAAGCACAATTAACAAGGTGTTTTCTTTTTTACGATGGATATGAATGAAAAAATGGTATCATCATAATAACATTGAGATCAAGCCATCAGCTTGGTGCTGTTGTTATGTTTGTCTAAATTTTATGATCAATCATGTATTTGGCTGGTGATCACAGTATTTTCATCAAGTCTGCTGTAACAACTAGTGCGTTGCATAGAAAAATATTATCATATGTCTGAGAATTCTTATCAAATTAAACAACAGAAGCATCAAACGTCTTACCCAATTAAGCCCCTACAAAATTATATGATTAATAAAAGAGCAAGTAAACTATAAAAATGAGAACTTTCATCGCAATTTGATGAACGAACGGGAATATTTTAATTATACGACACGACCCGATCTTAGCAAACAGGGATGAACCTTTACCAACATTGGCTTTAAGAAATATCAATATCAGGAATGTGGATCAAGTGAGCTCATTGTAAGCTGCTAAAATGTCTAAAAAGAAATCTCTTTGGCACCAGGTAGGCAAAGGACATAAATCACGACGATATTATTTTGAAAATGGGCTAAAAATAATGTGCAAAGATTTGATAAAAAAAGTAGAATTTCATCAACACGAGTGTGCTAATATTCTAATTAGAAAATATGACGGTAATATGAACATATTTTCCTGGATTTTCATGAAAATTATCGTTAATGAATTATGCAGTTCAACGAGAGCTATCACTATCAATGGTAGCAGATAACAATAATCTGGCTCGTTATTCAAATTCAGTCATTCTTCCAAAACTAATTTACTAAACAGTTTCAAATATACCATAGCAAAACACCACGTCGAAAATAAAATCCATTTCAAAAAGTACCATAAAAAGTACTATATGCTACATCAATAGCTTTTAGTCTTAACGTTATCGTTCTTCCTCGAAATCATTGTTCTACCATAATGCGGTTACGATTTCGTTATTTATATTTTTAAGTTATAAAATATCATTTTTTCACCCAGTTGCGTTCTATGGTATCATGCTCCTACCGAGTACTTTTCAAAAATACCATCATTCTACCCCGTTCCAAAACAAATTTGTTTATCAAATCAAGATTTATAACATCACTTTTCTACCCAGTCGTGTCAGGTAATGTCATTGTTAAACCCATCAACGGGCCCATGGCTATCTTTTCTGGGGCCTTGGCCAAATCTACCTCCTTCCCGCCTTTCAGACGGGCCTGCCCTGCAACGTTCTATCGTATCATTGTACTACCCAGCTAAATTCTATAATATTGTTTTGTAAATATAATCTTGGTTCTGTCTTTAGCTTTTATTTAGTAATAAGGTGTGTTATTAACAAGAAGAATTTGCTGGCAAAGATGACTGAAAACACTCACCTTGTTGAGATAAGCGTAGTCCTCCGGCTTTTGCAGATGCAGTGCCTGTCTCTCACTTGCATTCGCTCCAACAAGAAGATAGTAGAACACGTGATAATTCCTATGAGACAGGGACAAAAAATCAGCATTCTGTTCCAAGGGAGGTGTGACCTATCGATATTGTCCGTTATTGTAGCCAAAAGTTTTAACGCGATCACATTTACTTAACAGCTTGGTTGCATTCTGGTAACAAAGGATCCCTAAACATCCCTTTTAGATCTAAAGAATCTGTATGATATTACAGAAAAAACTATACTATAAAAATTAAGTGTTTCTAAGCAAATTTCAGCCACTTAATATATGTTAATTAATAAAATAAATGAAATAGTTTAAATATGAATATCAGAGACATTGTACACGGTTACGCTACTGTGCAATTACAAAAAATATAAAGATACTTGAAAAATTTGCACTTCTTGCCATCCCTGCTAGAAAAATTTGATTTAGGTAATTTTTTACTAATACTAAGCGACAAGCTATGGGCAGAAATTATTAGATAATTTTTACAAAAGGTGAAATATTTCTTGAGCTTAGCTTTCGAATTATGGTTCTTAAAATAATATTAAGATATTAATATCATTATTAACATAATATTAGAAACTTTTTACAAAAGATGAAATATTTCTTGAGCTTAGCTTTTGAATTTTGGTTCTTAAGATAATATTAAGATATTAATATCAATATTAAAATAATATTAGAAAATTTTTACAAAAGATGAAATGTTTCTTGAGCTTAGCTTTTGAATTTGGGTTCTTAAGATAATATTAAGATATTAATATCAATATTTAGACAATATTAGAAAATTTTTACAGAAGGTGAAATATTTCTTGAGCTTAGCTTTTGAATTTTGGTTCTTAAGATAATATTAAGATATTAATATCAATATTAAGAAATTATTAGAAAATTTTTACAAAAGATGAAATATTTCTTGAGCTTAACTTTTGAATTTTGGTTCTAAAGATAATATTAAGATATTAATACTAATATCAAGTTAATATTAGAAAATTTTTACATTAGAAACTTATTGATAGATGGATATATTTCTTGATGATAGATGATATATGGAAAAAGATCCCTTTACTGCACTTTTCTGCTTTTATTCTCCATTTCCCCCTCCCTCTCCACCATCTTATCATCATTTATAGTATACTTAAAAAATTCTTATGATTATTAATAATAATATCATGTATATTCAAAAGATATCTTATTGTTGTAAACGAAGGCACATGGCTCGAAAACTCTTCCAGAGTTATCTTCATTTGTCCTCTTTAACTTATATATTTTGACTTACTCTATTGTATTAATTCTGTATCAATGTACTAGATTATTACCTTTTGTTAAATCTTGATTAACATTGTTAAAAGTTGAGAATTTACATGAAATGAAAATCCAAACAGATCAAGGTTGACACCAAAACTCAAAATGACAATAATAAAAAACATATCTAATTGGCAGCTCTGAACCATTAAAAGTTAACATGCAACTGAAACAATATATTCATTTCAACAGTTAAAATTGTAGCCTCATTGATGATCTCACCTCTCACTATCGGCTTGAGCAACGATACGGGATTTTTCCAGCAAATATTTCCGCAGAACAGCACTAAAATCAAGGCGGCAAGAATCATGATAATAATAATGAATATTTGCAGCTCATTTCAAAAAACTAACCTCAATAGAAAAGGGTTACATAATTGGTTACTATATGCTCTAAAACTTATAGTACAGCTATACTTAAAGTTACTTCGTTTGGGAACCATTTCTGAAATATATATTTCTTGCACAGGGTCCCTCAACACAACAAATATCAAAGCATCTTGGTTGATTAACGCATTCCGGAGATTACCAATGATTTAATTTCTGGATCATGATAGTCACGAAGAACGGAAGTACTGATACGAAAGAATGTGTAAAGTCCGTAACTAACTTTTAACAGAATAATTCCTGGCTATAATTTATTTTACGTTTAAGGAACTAAAATCATGAAAGGAAGTATCACGAAGTAGCTAAACGGAAACAGACTGTTACGTTCTAGCTGTCTAGCATCACATAGCTTCTTAATAAAGAGGCTACTGGAGTCACTTACGAGCGAATTTTTTTAAAAGATGCCTTTTTAGACGAATCAAATAAGGAATAGAGGTTCTACTGAAGTGTAATTTTAAATTCCTATTGCAAACAGAGCATTTGTAGACATATTTGTAAGAGTGTTTCATTCAAGTATGGGGTATAAAAACATGGGCTCACCCTTCCATAATTCATTCTCTCCTTGTTGGAGAGACGAGTGTTTATTTCAATTAACTATGGGTATTATTCTGCACAATTTCCTGAACACATGAGAAAGTGCAGCACATGCACATGCGCATTAGGGAGAAGATCAGTGGACAAAATTTACAACACACCACGCTTCACAGCATTTAATCAACCTGTTATATATCGTAGCTACATTAAATAAACAATGGTTTCACTCTCACACTGGCTTGTTCCAATAGGAGACCCGGATGTTCTCACCACAGAATACATTATGCGATGCGACAATAACATCGGCGGTTTTAACTGCGCATGTGCATTTGATGCAAAATTTTGAAAGCCAACGGACCCTCGAACAAATGCTGCTTCGTAAACCCAAGAAATTCTAGCAAATTTCCTACACTGATATAACAAGAGTAAATTTAGATCGTTTGTCAAATTTTACGAGAAATTTTTGCAAAAGCGAGCAAGTCGAGGCAACGTAAATTTTCCACTTTTGCTCTGAAGAAGTCCCGTATGCTAAGGCGAAATACTAGCTACTTTTAATTTACTTGTGTTCGTTGTTGTTGTTCTAGGCGCGTTGTTTTGTTCCTTATTTTCTACATTTTTATCGAGTTTTCGTCGCGAGCTTTACGATCGGAGCGGTCGAGCAGACTGCTACCGTAGCCTTTCCTTCAATCACATAAATTTTCCATATAGACCTATTGTTTATAAAAACTCTTCATACGAATTTTAAGACTAATCCGACATTTTTAGAAGAGGGGGCAACCATCCGACCACGAAGCCACTAAGCAATATGCGCTTGAGATACTCAAATAGAAAAGCAACTTGAGGTTTAGGATTCAAGGACGTTTGTTCTTGTTAATAATTTTGTACATTCTTGGTGAAGCCTCTTTAATAAGCAGCATTGAAGCTTAGCTGATATCACATAAATTTTAAGCTATGTTGAAGACTGGGTCCTGAGTTGGTTATTTTATAATCTATACCATATTTAGGCTTGATTTTACAAGACCGTAAAAAGAGAGACATGAACATTGAGAATAGATGTCTCGCTTAAGCGTTAAAATGGCAATCCAGATAAACTTCGATGTGTGTAGGATGAGCAAACCTAGTTTACAATCTTATTCAAAATCCACTAACGTTCAAGGTATCCCAAACATTAACTATTGTTTACTTATTGAGGACTGGTGATGAGTCTATGATAATCCATAAAACTAAGCAAACAACAATTGGTGCCTTGGGAACGTCTTAAAATGAAACTGATTAACAACAAGGCTTTTAATATTCATTACACTGAAAATCAAAATATTTTTCTCCCAGATATAAATGCAACTTAAACAAAGCAAGCTTTCAATGCGCGATTTACAAACATAACGAACAAATTTTGCGAGTCGTTGAGTGGGATTCTGCAACAACGGGTATTCATTATGACTTGTAAACCAAACAGGAAGGGCTAATTATTCTCGCTTTCAATGCGAGGTATCCATCGTTGATTTTAATCAGTCTCATTTTTAAAGAACCAAACATTGTTGAATGTTTCTCTACAATAACACAATTGTGATCCTTTGCACTCGACTTCTTCATTGCAACAGTTTTGGGATGACAAGGAAACTGTCGCAATGTCTTCGGTTATCTTATTACATTTCTTGGGAATACGACTCAGTTATAATTTTTGAAATGTATCGTAACTTTTTCACATCAGGAATTTTAATGGATAGCACCAGAAACGACCAGAATTAGATTTAAACGACAAAAGTTTGCCTACAGTTTTCCTTTATCTGATTGGTCTGAACTAGGGTGTGTGCCGACCGTATGAACCGTTTAAAAGGTTCAAACTTACGCTCATTACACCCTTTGTTTTGGCTTCGTAAGACTTTTGATAAACCAATAAATACATCAATCTTGAAGCAAAACATTAAAAACAACACATATAAACTCACCCACAAACAACGCCGTCGGCTCGGTACGTTATTTCTGTGAATTTCCCAAACCGACTAGAATTATTGTTATGACATGTTTTTGCATTACCAAAGGCCTGTAAAAGACAAAAGAACAGTTTTAGTCCAGTTTCAGACCAGAAGGAAGGCTATGAAAAACAATGCGATCAATACAATAGCATTGGTGTTACCAGAAAGGCAGCACTTGAAGCCGAAGTTTTAAGGAAAAAGAATGAAGAATGAAGGGGAAAGATGGAAAGATTATCGAGCTGCAGGTAAAATTGGAAAGAGGGGCATGTGATATAAATTCTGCATATGATATGGTGATAATCTTCGAGATTGACAGCTATGACCCATTACTTCCTACCAGAAAAGTCATGTTTGAATCCCAAGGAAAAAACTTAACAAGAAAACTGCCAATGTATCTTTTAGATATCTTTCCCTCAGGTAAGGCTCAAACTCGATTTCAAAAAATTAAATGAAAATGTTAGAGAACTATGTCTTCTTAAAGCTACGGACCCCAGAAACTAAATGCCTTTGCGTATTGAGTGACCGAAACCTAGACACACTTTGAAATTTGAACGCGAAATCCTTTTAAGTTATTAGCATCTGCTTATATTCAGGGCCGTCAAGAAGGGCAGCGAGAGGCGAATCGTCCCAGGGCCTGGAGGTCTAGGAGGGGCCTCATAAAAAAAATGAAATCCAACTCATAAATGGAATTAATCGAACGTTACAAAACTATGCAGAAAAAAGCAAAAAATTTAACGTTTGCAATATTTCGCTGAAATGTATTTTAAACCAAAACCAATCTAAAGGGTGTGGTTGCGAAAATTTTCTGCTTGCTTCATCTGCTCGTTTTTCATTTTTGCTCCAAGGCCTCCGAAACCTCTCAGGAGCATTGCTTATGTTATGGATCATACGACAATTTATGTGCCAAGGTCCTGACACTCAAGAAATTCGGGGGAATTGGGGGCAACTCACCTCAAATCCGAAATGACTGGGAAAATTTCCCTCAAAATTGGATGTTTTTGTATAGGATGAAGAAAATGAAAGCCGCTGTATCAAGAAACTCAAGACCCCTTACGGTATTTGACAAACCAATGAAAAACACAATTGGCACCACTGCCGTAACAGATATTCTTGAGTACAATGACCTCTATTCAATCACATACCCCGTTGCAAAGGCTACTTAAGTTCCAAATACTGACATAACACAGCCCTTCTATCTTGTAGTGATTGAAAACATCCACATACCTCTAAAACAGGCCCTGCAGCAAGAATGGTCCTTTCCAGAACCGTAGCTTGAGTTTTGTGACTAAGAGCAGTAAGGTGGTGCAGTACCAGCTTTGTGCTCTCCGTTTTCCCTGAACCAGATTCGCCACTTATGACAATACATTGATTTTTCCTGTCTTTAAGCATTCGATGATAGGCTATATCTGCAATAGCAAATATATGTGGGGGCAGTTCACCAAGATTTCTATGCTGGTAAGACAGAACATACTTTGGGTTGTATATTGGAAAGTACTTGAATGGGTTGATGGCGAGTAAAATTCCTCCAACATATGTGTATATTCTTCCACGCTTAAATCGTTTTTGTAGATTTTCTAATAGAATATTTTCATTTAAAACAGGCAAGTCAACAAGATCATCAATCTCCTCCTCTTCACGATAATCTGGATCAAAATTCCATTCGTCAGCACTTGTCGGCGAGCAGAGACCATCAACCCAAGTCACCTTTACATCATGTAATTTATCTCCAACAAGGTTATCTACTTTCTGCCTTAGGTAGATTCTATATTCACCAACACTTCCATCAAGCCCACGCTTAAACTGCCAGTCACGTTGCACTTTCACTGGTGATTCAAACTCTTGCAAGGTCCGACTCCTTCCACGTGACTCTTTACTATCTGGAAAACTACCAGCTTCATTATAGATTTCTACTAAATCAAACGTGTCTGGTTCCCCTAAAATTGTAAGCTTCTCTAATACCCTCTCAATGACATCAGCTGTTGTGGCTTGCTCTTGGGTCCATATGCTGGTGCAATGAACGCCCGGAACAACATCACCAGGGTACACCTTCACTATATGCTGCACCATCACTTCTTCCGGTACAGGCATCTTGAATTATAAGTCAATGAATACTTTCCAAAACAATTTCAAAATTTAAACACATCACTTTGAAACGAAGGAACTTTTCATACCTGCAAAGGGGAAAGCAAAAATTGAGTAAAAATTTCCAAGAACCTTTGATAAGTTGAGGGTTGTCATCACAAAAGGACCTATATTCATACCCTGATATACACTACGCGTACATTTATATGTAAAATTTAACACTTTGTAATAGCTATAGAAATAGCTAGCATGTAAATGCAAGAAACATGTGCCATCATAATAAAATATAATTAAGTAACTGAGGTAGTCTTTATGGCACAACCTTAATTACATAGCGGCGTTTCTACAGGCTTTTCTACAAGCAAACATTTTCATAAGTCATGTTAAGACTTTGACCTATAGAAAAATAAAATATCTCCTAACTTTAATAATAAAACATGAAGCAGGAAACCTAAATCATACATCATTTAAGTTCAGAAAGTTCAGATCTAGCAGTAACACCAAAGCCATTTGCAGAATCTTATCAAATAATTAAAATAATTTTCCAATTTCTTACTGAACAATCATCATTCAAATGTAATGTTTGCATGTATTTTCCTTCAAATGACAATGAATAAAAAATGACAGTAATAAGCTTTTCTTAGAATTTGATTGAATAACCTGAGAAAACACCATTCGCTTGCAAAATATATATTTATATCATCTCCATTTAAAAAGCAAACATATTTACAAATATTGTACTCTAACTTTCATCTTCTTTCATTTGACTTTTGGAGCTAGAGAACACCGGGGGCTTACTAGTTACTCAAAGACAGGTCTCTTGAAACTGATATTTGCAAAGGTAGGGTTGATGTAACACAGTTTTGAAACAATACATACTGATTAAAAAAAACTTCAACACTGACAAAGAATTAAATGTGTGACATAAATAGCAACAAAATGACCTTGGAAACAATAACCTTGAATGAACTTTTAAAGGTTTGAAAGAAAAAGGGCAAAAAGACTGGTTGCATTCTGAATCCAAAGACAATGCTTATTAATAAATAAAATCATTTTTAATAAATAAAATCATTTTGCAGGGTATTATGGTAAAAATGAAAAGGTAGTTTATAAATACCACTATTATATGACACAATTTCAATATTCACTTGCTTCTTTTATCAAAACCAAAATATCAGCAAAAAACAAAACAGATTGCCACCTTGATATGAAAAATTTTCATCAGTTTGTTTGCAAGGGTTAAATGAAATAAGAACTGGTTGCTTATAAATTCAGGACTCTCTTATTCTGGTCTTATAAAAAATTATATATAGCTTGAGTTTGGGAATATTTTTTAAGTAGTTTCTTATCAAATAAAAAACAAATTGAGATATTTTTGATACTTTCACATGCAGAGTGTATTTGTGATATGCTTGTTATCAGTTCATTTGTAAGTCACAAACATACAAGTGAAGCTGAGAGACAATTGATAATGACAAAAATTGCTAAACTCTGTATTTTATCAAACTCAAGCTAAAAGACTGAGAGAGATAACAAAGAAATAAAGCTAGGTCTTACTTTCTGATTTAATCACTAGCTAAAAATTTTTTTTTTAGTTTCTCCCCTTGAATGCTACAGCAATCTGTTCCAGTCTGCACATTAAAATCAAAGAAATTCCATAGAAGAATTGAACTGAAAATATGAAAAGACAGCTCAAACTGTTGGGAGTTTCAAGTAATTTTAGCAGACAAGAAACACAATTTATGTGAAAAGAGCTGAAATTCAGCCATCCCTTTGTGTCCTGCATTCACTTTCCTAATGTGTAAGGAGCAGTCATCTGTACTGGAGTAGACGGTGTTAAATCTTGTCAGGCTGAGGAAGGACATGTTTAAAGAGTGAAACTATGGACTCACTTTCTATAATGCTTTGTGACCCCATGATGGGTTCAGTGATCACATTTAATGTCACAATAGAGGATTAATTCTTAGCAAAGAAAAAGATCTGCGAAATCACACACTAAGTAACAAAAAACTAGATGCTCAACTTTGCTAAGCTTGTAAGGTTTAATTTCAAGATCTTTCTTGATAGCTTTTGGTGCCTACCATCGCCTCCTTGACCCAAAAGTTAGAAATATCTGGAAGTTTTCCTTTAAAATCAAAAGGAACACAAAATATTCAAGCCTTTGTCAAATTGAACAGTATCCCTACATCAATTGAATGCACCAGGTATCATTGCACCAGCTAAACATTAAAAATGCAATGAAAATCATGTACCATATAAAAAAGACAATTATACAGCAAGATTGAAAGCAATCTTTTTTCCAGTAGGGGTGGATAATCCTCTAAAATCCTGTTTTGCAATAAAGGGATATATTTTCTGACAAAAACCACTGCTCAATACTATTTAATGGAACTTTTATACTTTTCTGTCTTAACAAAGTTATTCCAAATCCATTATACATTTATCCAATTATATCATAAGCACATTATATATCCAGAAAGCTTGCAAAAAATAGTTTTACATGAGTTTTAATCATAGGACTGGTTCCAAAAAATTTGTATAATACTGCGTTTGGTGTTTTGCTTGTATAAAATCAATGCAAAGGATACAGATAGGTTTGAGCATAACATTATTCATATCATTGGCCAAAAAATATGTTTTCAGCCTTCAGAATTCTCCTAATAATATTTTGCTTGCAATTAGTATGCTCTTCAGACATGCAATATAATCTTTAGTCTGATATTTGTAACTACAACCAATCTCCGAGCAATAACTATGCTTAAACAATTATTTTTTATCAACAAATATCACAGGGGAATATGTCTTATTTTGATTAGAAATTTCCATGACACTCACTAAAGATTTAAAACGATAAAAAGAGAGATTCAAAGCGAGAAAAGAAATAGGGTAATATTTAGGAAAGATATAACGGTTTATGTATGAATCTAAAGAAGCTGAAAATTGACTACTGGAGTGAAATATCAGGAATACTTTAAACGATCTCAATTTCCTCGCCTTGAGTTGAAACAAATGGTCTCGGGTAGGCCCCCGCATCTCAGTCGGCGAGTGAGATGCAAGATTATCAAATATAATGGCAAATTATTCGCATTAATTTTCATCATAAAGTTTTTGCATCGACAGTGCTATCGAATTTCACAATTCACAGTACATAAATTTCCAAGATGTTTTTATCGAAAACTTGCCAGAAAATACCTGTCCTTCGAAATAGATTTCAGCCAGGTTTTTCAACACAAACGGCTCATTGTACATTAAGTCAGTGCTTCAAACTTACCACCGATTATGAAGCCAATTTATCTTCCAACCAACTTCCGGACGAGTTGGTAAGGTTAGACTTCAGACCAGCTAAAATATTGTTGAATTTTTCTTGATAAACTTCGGACGGAAATGGCTGGTAGTAAACAGTAAATCTAATCATAGATTTCAGCTCACCCATTTCGATTCATTTTTACTCTGCTTTGTAAACGTTTTAATGTCTAGCGAATTAACTCGGTTTTCAAACAATGCCACAACATTATCAATGCAATTCTCTCCTTTTCTGCAACGATTCAATTTCAACTCTATCCGGAACTGTCAAGGGAGAAGAATCCAAGGATCTCGATTTCAAAATAGCCTCGAGTTGCAGTTCTACTGTTGATTCATTGCGCAATCCAAGTTATACGCCCTTGCCCCTGGAGTTCTCCATTTCCGAAAAATATTCTTATGCAATTTATTAAATTTAAACGGTCTATGAATGCTTTAATTTTCACTAAAAAATGGCTTTGTCTAACAAGAAGAGCTAGAAAGGATTTAACCTCTTTTAGAAATATTCTATTTTGAAAATTTGTCACTTTTTCAATTTGATCAAGTTCCTTTTAGTTTTATATAAAGATTCAAATTATGCAAATGGTTAAGTTTTGTTATTTTTAGTGTATCATTAAATGGTGTCATAAACAATAACTTTGAACTTTGAAGGATTTTGCTTGTGAATTCGAGCATCATTTTCAGGGTGTTATATGGCCTTTTGGAAATATCAAATTACTCTGGTTACTGGAAATATCAAATTTCCGGGATTTGTACCCGACTGATTAACTTTTGCTCTGTTACAAAAGCACTTTGTACCAAAGTTTGACCTTGACAGCTGACTCTGCGTTCTTTAAAATGGCAGTCTATGCAAACTACGTGCTGTCTTTTTCATTCGCTTCCTAGCAATGTTTCATTGCCTAGCACCTCGTACTTAATGAATATAATGCATTTCTATTGTTGAACAATCTTCTGACTGCCTACGGATTTGGCAATGGCTTTTCACAAATTGCGGCTTCACAAATAGTGCGTCTGTAATACACTGTAATCTGGCTTTATGTGCTCACTGATTGCAACTTTAAGTTGGCATTTACACAGTTCTACGGCTAGTGGACCCCCAATAACAAACCCACCTTTAGGTAACCTCCTGAAGCTTGTAACAAGGGCAACTGTAGCAGAGTTGTAGGAATTTTTGAAAGCTCTAAAACTACTAGACATGATTTGTAGAATGCAAGAAGGCTCTTATTAGCTGCTCAAGAAACACTTGATTGGATACTGAAGATCTAAGGCTTACAAAAATTCTATATTTTGATCGGATCGGTGCTATAAGGTTCTTTCACAGATTCGGCATGACATGCATGAAAACAAGGTCGTCTTTAAAACAAATTTATACTTCTCTAAGAGTACTCTTAATACAAATCTGCAAAAGTGTAAAAGCATTTCCATCAAAAAAGAAAAAAAAACACTTTCCCGGCTATGCGCAAAAATATTGCAAAATATTACAAAAATTATCAATACTTAAACTACCAATATCTTCTACTGAGAATTAATCGCCTTGAATAATCATGATTTAATATACAACTGACAAAATTTTATTGCACTTTAAATTTTCACTATGCATCAAAGATGAATACGATATTAAAACCCTATAATTCTATTAAAGGAATATGCGCTAGCTTTCTAAATCATGTCATATGCTTATTAAAGAACATAACAGCTGCAAGTTTTGAGATGAAAACTCTTTAAATGAGATTCACTTTTCCTGTTTTAGAGTGACAGTCACTATCTCGACGTTAAATGTGCTTCAAATTAATTTCTCCCTGAATAGTTACACGACAAATAGGGCATTTGGCTGAGCCACCTTGCCGTCTGCGAATATTTTCAATGCATAGACGACATGCATCCATATGCATACATGGCATCAAAACACAATTTTTTTCCATCTCATGGCAAATCTGACAACTGATCTTGGTTTCGGCTTTGCTTACCTTTTCCTCCAACTCGCTGATCTGCTTTTTAAGACGGTCATGGTCTGCATTAGCAACATTAATTGCCGATACATTCACATCAAGCGAAGATATTCTTTTATCTACCTGGTCCTGCCGGTCCAGCAAACTGCGACACAAATCCAAGACTCCGTCAGACTGACTGACCATTTTGTCGAGCTTTGTATTGAGCATTTCCACAGTCTCATTGTTAACTGAAGTCAAAGACTTAATAAGCGAGTCATTCTTTTCAACTTCAGTGATTTCGCTGAGGCTTTTCTGTGCCTCAAACAGCATTTCCTGACAGCAACTGTTCACCAAAGAGAGTTGCTGCTTCATGAAGAACCGATTTTCGCTGGACAGAATATGAACAAGATGCTCAACAGCATTCCAGTAGTCCACCTGATAAACAGCATCACCATCTTTCTCGGTATAAGGCGAACTTGCTTCCAATTTCGTGCATTCATCTTCATTGCTTGTTGTAGCCGGCTCAATCATCTTTTCAGCTTTTTCTATTAGTTCCTCAATACTTCGAATTTTCTTTGGTTTCACTTTGGTTTCTCCGTTGCTAGAGAGACTCCCTGAAGTCGGCAAATTTCTACTTGGGGTATCATCCGCCTCGTTGCCAGATCTGTTACAAGCAACAGTTTCATGTTTGCTGCAATCTGCAATAGAGAAAAAGATCATTTCAATAATACAATCAAGAGCAAGCAAAAGATGAAATTTCAAGCGCAAAAACATTCGAAAATAGGGACAAACACTTTTTGGAAAAATTTAAGTGGCTTTAAATATCATCATTCTTCTATTTGCATCATTTGCAACAAGAAATTACGAAAGTTCATTGCAAAGAAAAGTTGAATGCATGTATGGGATAATTCAAGGAAAAAAGACTAGCATGATCAAAAAAGCACACTGTTACTGAACAGAGCAGCGCAATGCTACAAAGGTATTGCACACCATAAGTTACCTTCACTGCTAGAGCGTTCCTAAATTTTCTGATAGAAAACATGCACTCATGTAAAAATATCTAAAATTTAGAACAGGCAGTTGCAGTAAAGGTTGCGAATGAGATTCAACATAATCTTAACAAAAACCAAGCGTTGTGGTTCAAAAGGAATGGGTGTTTTCGCAAGAGAATATTAGGCTTTGCAAATGCCTAAAGTCTATGGTATATTCCTAAATGTGGGGAATCACAGTGAGGTATCACTATAAAGGCCGATTTCCATTTGACATTTTTTGTGCACGCGGGAGTAGCGCCAAATCTGAGCATGCGTAGTTAAAATCAAGTGGTCTCGATTTTGCGTCCGCTGTGAGCGCCAGAAAGTTGATAGGGTCTCAACTTTTTGTGCGCTCGGCCACTTGACAGCAGCACTCAGCTACGCATGCTCAGATTTGGGCGCTACGCCCGCGCGCACAAAATATGTCAAATGGAAAGCGGCCTTAAGATTAAAACGCCTCGCGTACGAAATATAGGACCACCTTGCTACCAGGAAATGAAGAAAACATACACAGATATTTAATTTGTTTAATAGGGTTTAGGGTTTGGGTTTTGGTTTAAGTAATGATGCATAAAACCATTGCAATAAGATAGTTTTTCTGTTAGTATTTAACATGAACAATATAGTTAAAGGTAGTAAGTTAGGGATATCTTGAATACATCAAGGTATGAAGCGCATAATACTTAGTAAAAAACCAACAAAATTTGTAAATAAAGCAAATCATTGCTAATGCCTATATCTTTTAATTATATGATTAATCTTAATATTATGAATGAAATGAAAAATTACGAGTAAATAAAAGAATAGTTATCATATTCGAGATATTTGAGACACACAACCTCCAATGTTTAATTAAAGTTCTTTCATCGATTGAATGCTAGTCTTCATTTAAAAGCTTTAATCAACATGCTTTTGGTAAGGGATAAACAATCTAATATCTTCATGTCGCTAAAATTATATTTGTAATGTGAAGTCCAGATATACTCAAGATCAGTTCAGTTCAGTTAATTTAATTTCTTCGACACATTTGCATATAAGGAATTTCTTTTAGGAGGGCTTTCTCAAGAAATGAGCTTTTCAAGATTAGGGCATCCTCTTACTTAGCAAAAATATCCTCTAACTTAAAAATCAATGTTTGAAAATTCGAAAATTTACTATCAAGTTTTTAATTTCCAGGATTTCTTTTGCACCTACATATCTGATAGATTTCAAACCAAACAGAAGAGTATTTTTGCGAGTCAAAAATATGTCACATCTTCATGCTTGCCTGGAATTATACTTTCGAACATGAAAAGGTGGCTTAAAATACTCATGGAATCAAAAAGAGGAGATCCTTTTTACAGATTCAGCAGCAGTTTTAGTCTAAATAGATCTTCAGCTTGGAAAGGAAGAAACACGATGTTTTTGAACAATACACAGCTCTCACAGCTGGCTTTGCCTAAAAAGGAGCCACACGTAAGACCCCCAAACAACAATTCCGTACTGGAGGAAGAAGCAAGCATAAAGTAGAAGTTTTATGGAATGTAGTAAAATTTTCATAAATTTTGTATTTTAGAAGACTTCGTAAATTTGTTATCACTCTGTTACTCGAATTAGATTAGTTTATAATTAGAATTTTTATTTTGTAATTAGAAACTATAATTTTTTGTATTCGAAATAAAATAAGATTAAAAAAAAATTTTACAAGGAGATCAATTTATTTGTAGGAAGTATATGCGCAGGCTGGTAGAAACACAACTGGTTTTTGCTAACATTTTGGAGAGCCAATTTCAAAGGTACTTCCAATATAGGCTTTCGTAAATAAAAAAACTAAACATAAATTAGAAACTTAACATAAATTAACATAAGTTGTTTTTCTTATGTGATTCTTACCAAGTCTTATATTGACAGTGTAATTTTCGGACTTTCCTTGTTAATAAAAAATAATAAATTTTGCTTTCTAAACATTCGGTGCAAGCATGTTTGGATCAAACCATCTTGACATGCTTCAGCTCATTGTTTACCAACTTTTGAAGTTGGTTTTAAACTGTTGCTTCCTAATAGATGATGTATCGACATCAAAAAATAAAAAGACAATTTTGATAAAGCCTTAGAATTATCATTAATATAAATTAGAAGAAGAAGATAGCCAGGAAGGAGGAGAAGGAGTTGAGAAGAAGGACAACAGATCAGTGTGGAACATCACATGACAAAAATTTGGTTTTCGGTTTGTGATCGCAACAATGCTTCTTGTAAACTTAATGGGGTGCTAACCATTGACAGGTGCGCTCAAAGGTAAAAAGCCAAGTACACAGCTAGATCAGAATAATTTCTCAGCGTTAAAATGTCCATCATCAGATACTAAATAGAAACAAAAAATACAAAAATACTTAATACTTCTGCGAATACTTGTTTGGTGATTTCATCATATTATAGGTTTCTTTTTCAATTTATATATTGCTAATTCCCAACAGTAAAAACCATTCTTAACAAGGATGTAGTTTTTTGTCCAGAAAAAATTTGTAGCATCTTTTGTGTTAACGACTCCCTTGCTGCTAACGGAAAACGATCGTCTCATCGCCTTTTCAAGCGTCAAGATTAAACCAACTGTTTGATTACCTACACAAGGAATGATCAAATTCGTTGATACTATATGTGAATAGGTAAGAGGGTAACAGGATTCCTCTCCAATAGCGAGTGGGACTATGCAAGTCAAAAAGACCATAGACAAAGGACTTATCAACAAACAAGAACTAGAAACGTTTTCAAATTACATAAGCGAAACATAATTAATGTAGAGTAAAATGTAAATGAATCCCTAAACGAATGGTAATAGAGAGAGTCTTACTATTCTCTGCCTGGATTCTCCTTGATGCGATCAGGTTCCCGGAATGATAGTCGCGTAGCTCCACATTTCCATCAGCAGAAAGGTACTCAAATCCTCCCTGTTGAAGTCCCCCTGCAAAATGACCTTTAAGAACGCTACCATCGGGGTAAATCAAGTAACCAAATCCATGTGGCTTATCGACATACCAATAGCCTCTGTACTGCAAGCCTGACACTAGTTTTAAAGAACCATAGCCATGCCTTGGGGAGAGAAACTTTAATGAGTGATCGACACAAAGTAAATTTCAATACGTTGGTGTATTCGCAAACTTCTTATGCCTTACATAAAGCATACAGGTTATTGGGGCTGGGGGGTTGGGTTTATGGCATGCCTTCATCATACAGAATCTACAAACGAAGGATATTGTTTAATGAAGGCTCCACCTATGGCCCCTGAGGCCATCAGCATTCCCATGTGAAGAGCCTTAACGCGACATAGGCTCTATATTGGACCCCAGTAAGAGCCAAATATTTATTCCAAAGGCGATACAAAAAAGAGCCCAGGGGACTGCCACATCACTCTTTAGTCAGATCCACTAAAAATTTGAAAATTAAACCATATTGTACATTGAAAGTCTATGGTGTAGAGTTATATGTAAAGTTACATGTTGAGACCCAATTTATGGTGAGTTTTGAAAAAATCACACGAGAAATGGGCGCATTTGCGACAAATTATTCCAGTCGAATCAAAGGATTCACTGGAGGGGACCCATGGAAATGAGGGCATGTGATTGCCTAGTTACGACTGATGATAGAGAAAAAATTCAATTAAACTTCAACTATCACGAAACTACCGCTTAAACTTTACAATCCTTCAAATAATTACCTACGTCCCTACAAAGTCGGATAAAACTTCAATTCTCTGAGCGGTGTTGTGAGGTAGCAACATCTTTACATACCATTCACCCCTAGCTAAGCATTTTATTAAGCTATTCAATAGACGAAATGTATTCTAATCACAGAAACAGGCAATCTATATGTTTTGGCTTTTAGGCAAAGGTTACAGCGTAGTTACAGACAGCAGAGTGCCTTTGAAGTCAAAGGAATGGAACTGCAGTTTGATATGCTGTCAATGTCAGCTTCTTCGACGGGATTTCTTCCAGCAACTCATGTCGTTATTTTCTTGTAAAATTGAGTAGCTATGGATATACTATAATTCTACCCATGCTCCCAAAATATTACCGGTTAGTTTTCGCTTAAGATTCTTTGGAGTGGTTCAAAAAAGAAAGGCTGGATTCGATGTTTGGCGTCTTTGGTAGGGCCCATCTTCACTCGCAATTGACCGAGATAGGTTCAGTGGGCAGACTAGGCGGGAACCTAGTTGGTGAATTTTCAGAAAGGTGTGTTGCCTACGATAATTGGTGGTGTGGATTCATCACCATCATTCGTTCCGTAGCCGATTAGGCAATGGGTGCAGTCATGACAACACCTCCCTTTTCCATCCTTGACGATCCAACGCTTTCCAGCTGAACTCCGCCATACTCTTCCCCCCCCCCCATCCCTTTAGGTTCGAATTCCAGTTCAACTGTGGCTTTCCTTTTCCTTTCCTTTCTTTCACACCACCCTTTATTCCCATTTCAAACAACCGCTTTCACCAGTCCCTTTCATCTAGCTGCATGTCCAAAGAACTTAATCTTTCTTTTTTTCACCATCTTAATGAAAACTTCTGGTTCTTGCCCTAAGATTTGAGCCACTTCTGCTGTTATCTATCCATTTCTTCTCTTCTCTTTCAAACTCACCCCCAGCAGTCTTCTTCATGCCTTCATTTCAAATTCATGTTATCCTTAGTTCGTCTTTCTTACTCAGTGTCCAAATGCATACAACAGGGTTGACACCACAACCGCTCGCATTAGCAATATCTTCTTATCAAATTTTTTGTTTTAAGTTCTCCATATATTTTCAAACCTTGCAGGCGCACTAGTGGCACTCTCTTTTCTTATTTTGACTTCAATTTTCAATTAAGATTTTTCCTCTATCCACTATCTTTCACCTGTTCTAGTTGTACGCCATCCAATGTAATGTGTACGGTGTGGATTTTCCTGATTATAACAAACGATTGCAATATCAAGGTAGAAAAAGACAGATCTCACTTGCTGGTTAAATTTATGCTTGCAAGTTGTGCAAGTTTAATAGATTTGCAAGTTTTGGTTGAGTAACATTCTCAGGTTAAATTCTCCAAACACATAATGTTCTGACTGATATTGGAAAAGGAAGACTCGGAATGGTTTAATCAGCCTCGGAATTACGAATCTTTGGAGCTTTCTTTATCCCTAGAAATCAATATCATCAACACTGGCAAAAAGTTCAAGCTACTGTGAACCTTCTATGTTTACCCGGGATCTGCCCCTTACTATTATGCCGTTGATGTCTGTAGATCGAAAGCATACCTGCAGTTGCTCATCCAGTAGCCTTGATAATAGCCAACACCCCCATGAATATCGAGTGAAGTATCGACGATCAGTCCAGTACCATAGCCACACCGTTTTCCTGGCAAAGAACATAGAATGAGTAGAGGGATTAAAATATCATAAATAAAATTACCAAAAACAGCTTGAAGAAGGCATCCTTAATTCATGAAAATCTTTATTATAAAATATTTTAAGGCTGACCAACCAAAATTAACGAAATTTTCCGTACGACTTTCAAGCTGATTAACTGTACATCAATGATTCCCTGAACATGTTTCCTATATCAACGAACTGTCATTCTGTCAGGCCGTGAACATTTTGCCTGAAAGTGTATACACTGCTTCCATAACAATGCAAAAAAATTAAATATGTAAAAACAACATAAATAATTCTATGTCCAATTTTGTAACAAGCTAATGGCTGCTTTCAATAGCCTGGGTTGAAAATGTAACAAAGAGAAGGGTATTAAGTTTAAAAATTAATAATCCCAAACCGAGAGTTTTTCTAAGGCCTGGGGCAAAAAGAAAGATGGGTGCCTTGATTATGTCATTAAAATTGCGACTGATGTTGTTGCTTGGAACCATTTATAACTTATTGCGGCCCCTCTTGGGCCTTGGTCTAAGGCAATCTTCCGCTCAAAGGGCCTTTGTCTGAAGA